ATTAGCTCCTCCTGTCCTCCTCCTCTGCTCCTGTCCTCCTCACTGTCAATTAGCTCCTCCTGTCCTCCTCCTCTGCTCCTGTTGTCCTCTCTGTCAATTAGCTCCTCCTGTCCTCCTCCTCTGCTCCTGTCCTCCTCACTGTCAATTAGCTCCTCCTGTCCTCCTCCTCTGCTCCTGTTGTCCTCTCTGTCAATTAGCTCCTCCGGTCCTCCTCCTCTGCACCTGTCCTCCTCACTGTCAATTAGCTCCTCCGGTCCTCCTCCTCTGCACCTGTCCTCCTCACTGTCAATCAGCTCCTCCTGTCCTCCTCCTCTTCTCCTGTCCTCCTCTCTGTCAATCATCTCCTCCTGTCCTCCTCTCTGTCAATCAGCCCCTCCTGTTTGACTCCTCTGCTCCTGTCCTCCTCTCTGTCAATTAGCTCCTCCTTTCGTCCTCCTCTCCTACTGTCTGGATCCTCTGCTCCTGTTGTCCTCTCTGTCAATCAACTCCTCCTGTCCTCCTGTTTTCCTCCTCTGCTCCTGTCCTCCTCCTCTGCTCCTGTTGTCCTCTCTGTCAATCAGCTCCTCCTCTGCACCTGTCCTCCTCACTGTCAATTAGCTCCTCCAGTCCTCCTCCTCTGCTGCTATCCTCCTCTCTGTCAATCAGCTCCTCCTGTCCTCCTCCTCTGCTCCTGTCCTCCTCTCTGTCAATTAGCTCCTCCTGTCTAACTCCTCTGCTCCTGTCCTCCTCTCTGTCGATCAGCCCCTCCTGTCCTCCTCCTCTGCTCCTGTCCTCCTCACTGTCAATTAGCTCCTCCTGTCCTCCTCCTCTGCTCCTGTCCTCCTCTCTGTCAATTAGCTCCTCCTTTCGTCCTCCTCTCCTACTGTCTGAATCCTCTGCTCCTGTCCTCCTCCTCTCCTCCTGCAGGGAAACGGGCTGCAGCTGAGCTCCTCAGAGGATTTCCTCCTGAAGTTCAGGTGAGAATCTTCTATCAACACCTGAAGCAAACAATCAAACAGTTTAAGATCTTTGAGAAACTGAAAGTTAAATGTGTTTTTGAGATGAAGGCTAAACTCTTTAACATTCATTGATTTATTCATATAATAAGCAAAGCTGTCAAGTAAAAAACTACAAATACTTTTCCTTAATTTAGTAGAAATTTGGGCTGAACTTTACTGGATTCATTATATTTCAGACAAAGTTTTGCTTCTAGTCTTTACATTTTTTTATAATTAGCTCTACTTTCTACTCCTATTTTAAAAATAGACTTGGATTTGTTTCAGTAAAGCTTATTTACATTCTATAAAAACCATCAAAATAATTAGTTTTATCATGACAATTAATGTCTTTGTGTTTGGACTCGGTGCTGCCCCAACTTGTTGCTCACCACAAACCAAAATAAAGTTTTTCAAGATAATGCAAAGTTAAATGTGACGCTGTTACCATTAGTTATAGAACTAAGAAACTTAAGTCTAAAGAAGTTATAATCCAGAATGGTAGAAAAATGTTCTTTTAATAGGGTAGAGCAGTAAAGCTTCTGCCCTTAACATTTTCTCCGGCATTAAATTTACTTTTATACTTTAAGTAGTTTTAAAAATGGTACTTTTACACTTTTACTGGAGTAAAAAGCTAAAGTTGACATTTTAACTTCTACAAAAGTGTTTTTAAACAGTAGGATTTCTACTTGAGTAATAAACATTAATATCTTTGAAACCTCTGCTAATAAGCAGTACATTTTAATATGATAAATAAGAAATTAGATGTGTGACATCAGCTTCAACTCTTATTGCAACAGATTAATGTTTCAAAGCAGATTTTTTTTTGTTAATGGAATAGAAATATCTAAAGGAATGTTTTTATAAACACAATGAAACTTCAGAGTTGTTGACAAAAGTCGACAAAAGAACGATTGATTTCTTGGATCGGGTCAGAACAGCTGGAGCTGATTATGTATAATCCTGTATAATCTGTGATTTTTCACAGATTATACAGGAGCAAACCATAAAATATATCTCAATTATTTGAACTAAATATTTATATTTTGCACCAAATAAATCTTATAGTAAAAAATAATACATTTTAATGCAGACAGATAAATCTTAGATTTATTTGAACTAAAGAAATCTTAAAAGTAATAAATCTTGAAGTAAAAACATTTATTTATTTGATGTAATATATATTTTTTTTAAATAATTTATATTATTTTGAATGAAAAGGCCTCCTGATGATCAGTGGACCTCTCCTGTCTCTGGGTGTCCCGCAGGTCCTGCTGCCTCGGTGGGGATGTAAGTGTTGTGGTCCAGAACAGCACAGCTGATCTTCTCCTGGGCTCGGGGCCAACTGGTCTGAAGGTGACCCTCAGCAGGATGGAGGCCCCTGGGGCCACAGAGGAGCTGAAGGAGCTGCTCTTCATCATGGCGGACCGGCTCACTCAGCTTGGAGGTCCGTTTGTTCTCTTCCTTCTCTCTTTAATGGTTTTCTTATGGAGCTCAGTTTCTGTTTCCATAGTCTGACGCCCTCTAGTGGTTCCCTCATCCAATGTGGTTCCTGCTATAAGAATAAAAAGTAGAACCGTGATAAAAGAAATATATCCCTCTGTGATTCTGCTTTTGGATCCAGTTGTCTGCAATGTGCAGGACCAAAAACAGCGGAGAGTTCTGCTGCTTTTTTTAATGGTACGGGGCCCAAAACTGGGGATGGTCCTTATGGATAAAATCGGATCAGGATATCTGATGGGCTTTATTATGATAATCAGAGTTGTATAAAGTACTAAGATCTCGGAGTCAATAAAAGTATAAAAACCTCTCCAAAATATGACTTTGGTAAAAGTCCAAGTCACTGACTGAAATGTTACTTGAGTAAAAGTCTTAAAGTATCTAAAACGGCTTGTACTTAAGTATAGGTATTACTGTAAAAATAGATGTACTCAAGTAATGTAGTGAAAAGTATAAGTAAAAACTGGTGCAGTTTGAATGATTTTTTTTTCACATTTTGGTCAACTTTGAAGGGTAAATTCACTTAAAATAATATAAACAACCAAGTGAAGCATCAATTTAAACCAAGTTTTATTACTGCTACTGTTATTGACATTATTACAAAGAAAAAACAGAAGCTTATCTGGTATCTGAAGAGGGAGCCCAGTTTGAAGCTCCTCTTGTAAACGTGGCCAACATGAAAAATAAAAAAGCTGTAAATGACTGTACTTCACAAACAAAAGGCGCAAACATAACAGTTCATTTTACAAAAGAAAAATAAATGGGAGGGAACTGCAGCTTATTTGGCATCTGAAGAGGAAGACATTTTCTGTAAAACTACCTTAAAATGTAAAAAAAAAGGCAGTTCTGAAATTAGGTGTACATCACACCAGAGAAAAAAAGATGCACTACAGGCCAATTAACTAAATCTTAAACACTTTGTAAAAACAAGCCCCTCATCCCCTCCACACTTTTGTCCTTGACTTTTTTCTTCCCCTCCAAATCTTAAAGGAAAATTCCGGTTTTTAACACTTTTAGCCCATTTTCTGTAGTGTCCAGGATGAAATCGAATGATCTACA